GATGCAGACGGCTGAGGGAGCAAGCAGCTGCGTGATAACAGTGACCTGTCAGGGTCTATTGTGGGGCATTCTGCCCAGCAGGTCCCAGGCTGCCCTAATTAATGTAGGGGTGCAGGAGGAGTCCTCTGCCCCACAGGTGTCTACATGGTGGGGGGCGGGCAGGAGGGATTGGTGACTGTCCCTTGTGACAGCTCCCACCCTGTGGCCTCTCTTCCAGACTTCAATTGCTGAGTGCTTGACCTACCTGGATAACGGGGTGGTGTTTGTCGGCTCCCGCCTGGGTGACTCCCAGCTTGTGAAGGTGAGGAGTCCTTCTCTCCCCTGTCTCCCCTGCCACTGCCGAGTTACTCTCCTCAGTTTGCTGGTACTCACAGGGTGCCCCAAGTCCCCCATGTCCCTCTGGCCAGGCTGCCGCCTGGTTTACATAACCGCGCCCTGTGAGCTCATTCACCCAAGGTGCTAGGCCAGGCGCTCCACTGCCATTGGGTTGGTCCTGGCTCGTAGTGATCCTCCGCAGGGTAGCCTAGGCTGCTCATTAGGTGTTGGGTGTTCCTACCCACAGACCACCCATAACCTGACCGAGGTTCTGAAACCCTGGAGAATATGGTCATTCTCTGCATAGACTACAGGAGAAGCTGCACACCTGTTGTATGTTAGCTTCCAAAGGTGCGTTGTCTCTCTCACACTCAGCTTTGGGGCCCAGGTTAGAGATCCTGGCACTCGTTACGGAGGCTCTCCAGGGAGCCTGTGGGGCAGCGAGGGGCAGACCTGGCCAGAGCCAGCCCTGCTTTGGACTTGAACTTCCTGTGGAGGGTGGCTCGGTTGGGGACTCCCTGGACTCCTGTGGCTCTTTCTCTGCAGCTCAACGTTGACAGTAACGAGCAGGGCTCCTACGTGGTGGCCATGGAGACCTTCACCAACTTAGGCCCCATCGTCGACATGTGCGTGGTGGACCTGGAGAGGCAGGGCCAGGGCCAGGTACAAGGGTCACCCTGGGAACGGGCAGGCAAGAGGCTGGCTCACACTGTGCCCCTGCACACAGCTTTGGGACAGGAAGTATGTGCTGGGGACACATCCCTCCCATTGGGTTGGAACACCCGTCATTCATTGGGTACTCTCCGTGATCGGCACCTCTGAGCAGCCTGCAGACAGTATGTCTTAGTTGTTTCCGAAGTGAGGATGTGTCGGGCTGGAGAAAGGAGGCTGCCTGTTGCTGTCACATACTCAGTAAAGGGCTGGTCTCCTGACCCCGGACCCAGCCCTCGTCCCATCAGGCAGGAGTCCAGGACTCTACCAGGCTAGCCAGGGCCCAGCTGGGTGCTTTTGCTCTCGCCAAGTGTGCGTCCTCAGAGGGCCCTCCTGACCCCAGTCTCCTGCAGGGCCTGTTTAGGAACCTGTTCTTTCCTTGCAGCTGGTCACGTGCTCTGGAGCTTTCAAGGAAGGCTCCTTACGCATCATTCGGAACGGGATCGGGATCCACGAGCATGCCAGCATCGATCTGCCTGGCATCAAAGGTAGCCGCCCCGCTGGGCCCAGGCTGCAGCACCGCCCAGAGCTAGGGGGAGGGCAGGGGGGGGGGACTCTCATCACTTGGGCGCGGAGAGGGAGGGAGGCCTTTTGACCCACGATACGAACCACCATAAAAGGGAGCCCGATACCCTCCGC